TTATAACCTCAATTAAGGTCTCAGTATCTTACGAGTAAGTATAAAGAAGGGTTAGGGAGTAGGGGGCGGGGTCTTCTAGGGATCATATCTCAACAGTATGAATTATAATCTCAATGAAGGTCTCAGTAGCTCATGAAAAAGTATAAAGGGTTGAGGAGCAGGAGAGGGGGTCTTCTAGGGTTCATATCTCTACAGTATGAATGACAACTTTGATGAAGGTCTCCGTAGCTCTTGAGTAAGTATAAAGAAGGGTTAGGGAGCAGGTGAGGAGATGTTCTAGGGTCCCCATCTCTACAGTATGAATTATAACCTCAATGAAGGTCTCCGTAGCTCATCATGAGTAGGTATAAAGAAGGGTTAGGGAGCAGGCAAGGAGGTCTTCTAGGGTTCATATCTCTACAGTATGAATTATAACCTCAATGAAGGTCTCCGTAGCTCATGAGTAAGTATAAAGAAGGGTTAGGGAGCAGGCGAGAAGGTCTTCTAGGGTTCATATCTCTACATTATGATAGAAATAACAGATCTACCTTTGCTGACATGTTTTGTAAGCTGCAATTTTCAGGTCTGTCATAATTATGTTTTTGTTCTACTTTGGAAGTAAATGGTCTGGAACAAGTATGTGCACATCAGGCGTTGAGACATCTGAAATGCATATGCTTGTTCCAGGTAAATAAGCTGTGAAGCAAAGATAACAGCCCCGAATGCATCTTGAAGAAGTACAAAATTGCAGCCTCCATATTTCTATCTCGACATGTTACTTTGAAATGACTTTTCCTGCTGCCTGCACCATCGAATTCTGATCCAGGGCAAAAAAATCGACTGCATTAAACAGTTTCCCATCCTGCTCTATAGTTTCATATCCTGACCACCTGCAGGGCACAAAAGGGGAAGGAACCACAGAGTACAGAGGGGGAGCAGGCATCTAATACAACAAAAAGCTCAGAAACATGCTGAAGATACTTCAGAAAGAGCATCTCTGGAAGTTAGTGGTTTGGCAGCACAGGCAGCAGGAGGGGTAACTATTTAACCTTTGCTTTGTGGGCAAGGCTTAGTTTGTGGAATTAACCCTTTAAGAACAACTTGGGGAAGGCCCTTTTCTCTTCCAACACGACTGTGCCCCTGTTCACAAAACCAAGCCCCAAAAGACATGGTTTGATTAACCAGTTGCCGTCCGCCCGTTGACAAAAAAAGGACGGACGGCACTGCTGCATTAGCGGGTGCGCACGGGCAGAAAAAACCTGTGCAATGCATAGAGCCGTTACCGGCTGTTTAACATATACCCGATCGGCGGCTCTATAGAAGAGGGCAACCTCCATATCAACGCCCATCACCTTCGAAAGTAATGTCCAAGGTCATATACTGTAGGTATGATGGTAAGCTGTTCAAAAACTTTGGCCGATATAGTTTACTTTCAGTTTTATTTCAATTCCTTTGTTTTTAACATATTCCGCGTTCCAGTGCGTTCGGCCTCTGGAACGCAAGTCGGCCGGCTCCCTGCGTTCAGGGGCGGGGTGGTGCATTGAAGTCAATGGCTCCGCAGCCACGCCCCCAGTGCGATCACCCGCACCCGGAACGCAGACACATTAGTGCCTGTGTTCCGGTCCAGTGTGATCTGCAAAAATAGTGCTTGCAGTATTTTTGCAGGGTCGTGGCTGCGGTGACATTGACTTCAATACACCGCCCCTGATGCAGGGAGCCGGCCGGCTTGCGTTCCAGAGGCCGAACGCACTGGAACGCGGACTTTGTGGTGTGGACCGGCCCTAAAGGTTTTGCTTCCTTGATCTGTGATGTTGCCTCCAGCAATCACATGAATGGGATGAATAAAACATCAAATGCATCTTCACAAGAACACAAGTGTGAATGGATCTTAACCCTTACAATGGTCAGTGAGGATCTTCATTAGTAAACATGTGATTTTGTTTTCCCCACCAACTTAAATCATGTGAACATGTACTTTGTACGATGCACTTATTGTGTATGGCCGAAAAAAAAAAAATATGTTTAGTTTTGGATAGCGTGGGGAAGGATCAGACCCTCTGTCACGTTTTTGTGGGGCTGCAACTAATAATTATTTTCTTAATCAATGAATTGGCAGATTATTTTTTTCGATTAATCGTATTAAAAATATTAAATAAATACCGTCCTTCATTTAAAATGAAATACACAAATGCAGTGTTACAAACAAAGTTTACTTCAGAATAAAACTGCGTGCGCAATTTTTTGCAATTGCACTGTGCTGGAACGCAGGGCATCGCGGTACCGTGGGTTCCAGTGCGGGCGATCACACTGTGGGTGGGAAGCACATTTGGGGTGCCATTAAAATGAATGCGCTGCAACGCACCTCCCGCAGCAGAATTTGTCAGGCTTAAACCGAAAATGACTTTCCCACCTTTTATATATATATTTATTTATTTTTAATAACACATGGCGCTTGAATAGCTTCAGCCAGGGAATGACAGCTGCCAGTGGCAAGATTCTGCAGACAGCAGCTGAATGTAAATACAGCACGTAGTGGGCGGGTGCAATAGCCAGCCTGCTATTGGCCATTTCAAATTGCAATAGCAGGCTTCCTATAGCACCCGCCCACTGCTTTCTGTGCCCTCCTCCCAGTGTGGAGGCAAGAGCTAGGGGATCCAACCAACTAATCGATAATGAGAACAGTTGACAACTATGCTCATTATTGATTATTATGGATTAGTTGGTTGCAGCCCTAAAGTTTTTATTGCTGCCTGTGTCTTATTGGGAATTCACCCCTCCAATTTTACTGCTGACCATTGTCACTGAGAACGAATGAGGTGGGATTTCCAACATTTTAGAGCCATCCCCTGAACAAGAGATAAGAGGTAATCTTTCAATGTGGATACCTGTCTAAAGCTGCCCATACACCTTACAATTTATCATTCGATTTCTATCGTCCCATCATCGAACCCACAGTCGAGTTCCACTCGAATACCCCATCATGCACAAACCAATGTAGATTTTGATCATCGTTCATTAGCAATACTAACTGGCTGAATTTTGTCGATCAACAGAACGTATTTTGGTTTGCGCATGTGCAGTGTTCGTGCAGTTTTTTTCGTAGGAAAACGCCACCTATCCATCGATTTTCGTACAATTTAAAAAAAGTTTTCTAGCCTGACCGATCGTGGAAATTCAGCCAATTGTACAGTAATTCTGATCCTTCACTTCCCATCAACTGGCCGATTATCGTACGAAGACCCCATCCCGTTTGTTTTTCAAACGATAATTGCAAGGTGTAAGGCACCTTAAAGGAGAACTATGGGGTTAAGGCTTTTCCCCATAGTTCTCCTTAGGGTAACGGGAAGACACAAACTAGCGTCCTCCCGTCACCCTAGGCTCAGTATACCGCGCGCTACAGCTTGCAGTATACTGAGACGCCGCAGCTGAAGCGGATCCCGACAATTATGTCTGGATCCTCCCAGCTGCGTGACTGACAGCTGGCACTGCCTACCTAGAGGCAGAGCCAGCTGTACCCGCCCCCTCCACCAGTCAGCGCTGGAGGATTGGAGCGGGGAGGGGGGAATCCAGCCCCTCCACCTGTCACGGCAGAGAGCCGTGACAGGATCGAGAGGTGAGCGAACGCCGGTATGTGTTCGCTCACCTCCCGATCTACTGAGCCGACCTGTGACAGTCTCATTGTCACAGGTCGGCTAGAACTATGAGGTAAGTGAAAAGCACTCACCTCATAGTTCTCCTTTAAAGCTGGCCATACCCTGCTCACTCGGCCAAAATTCAAGCAGTTGTGGTCCTGCTGGCGCCAATCGGGACTGAACTGTTCAGGTATTTTGAACTGGTTGTCACAATACAATAGCCTGGCAGGAAAGGCGAAGTTCATCCATCCATGCTGTTTAGCGTGGATGGAGGAATCTCTTACGGTTTTTTTGTTCAAGGGTAGGGGGTATTCCCCTGAACTTCTTCTAGCTTCCTGTTGCATCTCTGGGACAGGAAATGAACGGAAATCACCTTGATGGTACATAGACAGCAAAATAATCCGGCAGGGATTTTAACCCTTCCCGACTATATTCAAACCAGAATAAAAGCTTTCCTACACATGCACAGTAAACAGACGTATGTACATACTACACATGTTCACACTGTTATTGTGTTGAACAGGCAAAACCAAAATGTCCAAGTTGCAGAAAGCTCAATCAAGGGAGACAGCAGAGGCATGTATGTGGCCCTGAACCCACCAGGTTATAGATCAGAAGCCCATAGGCTCCACCAGTGGGAGAAGCCACATTTGTGTGGAGCGGTGAACGTGAACACACAATTAAAGTCGGCGTAGTATTATGCAACCCCACTTTCCAGAAATGAGCTCCAAGTGAAACGCATCCTTGTTTGTTTACAGATAGACTCTCATGGACATATTGGCCACAAGAGCTGAGAGGAGCCAAGCTAGAGTCATGACAGGATGCGAATGAAGTGAAAGTAGCCATACAACAAGACCAGTCAGCAGAAGTGACAGCAAACTTCAGGGGTGAGCAGGGTGTCAGTGCCGGGCGACCATTGCACCGGGGAAGAGGACGATACACGGGGAGGGATCCATACAACTCTTCTCCTCCCATGCACCCTGGACTCGCTTTCACAACAAACATGTAGGCCCTGATGACACCGAGCCAGCCACCCCCACCACCAGGGCTCCTCTGCCCGTGCACACACTACCGCGGATGGCCGCACAGCACAGCCGGGCTCTGCAATGGAGGCAGGGGCACCACCTTAACCCTCAGTATGCGGGGCGCCAAAGCCTGGCGAGGTTAAAGGGCAAGAGCAGCCATCTCCAGGCTGCCCACAATAAGAAAGCCCGATAGTGGGTGGGATCTGGAGGCACATGCCTATGCCTCGTACCCCACAGTCATCGCCGAAGGCATCTGCCATTCTGTATCCTGCTCGGGATTCCCCCTGTGCCTTCTTTGCTGCACCCCGTGGTGAATGAGGGAGGGGGAGCAGCGGCCCCCGGGGCCAGTGCTGGACGTCCTTACCTTGTTCGGGGTGGAATCGAGCGGCTCGAGGTCCCGGGGCACGGAGCTGCTGGGGAGTGGGGGTGGCAGCAGTGACAACACACAGAGTGTGTGTGAGAGAGCCTGAGGGGAGGGGGGATGACAGTGTGCTGCTGTGTGAGAGGGAATGGAGATACAGAGAGACTGTGTCAGAGAGAGAGGGTGGGACTATGGCAGGCAGACACGGCGAGGCGCACACACATACACCACTCTGCCCGGGGACTGAGAGCACACACATTCACCACTCTGCCCGGGGACTGAGAGCACACACATACACCACTCTGCCCAGGGACTGAGAGCACACACATTCACCACTCTGCCCGGGGACTGAGAGCACACACACATACACCACTCTCCCTGGGCTCAGAGAGCACACACACATACACCACTCTGCCTGGGGACTGAGAGCACACATACATACAGAGTCTGTCCAACAATGGAGAACACATACACAGGCCCCCCCTTTACCCAGCACCCTCACTTGACTGCCTTTTTTCCACACAATCCCACAACACCTCTCCTGTCTGGCTCCATCTTTACCCGCAGAGCTTCCCCCAGCTGGCCCCCCTTTTCCCAGGACCCCTACTTGACTGCCGTGTTGCCCCAAACCCCACAACACCACTCCTGTCTAGCCATCCTTTCCCACAGTGCTACCCCTCTTCCCAGCAACCCTGCTTGTCCCAACCAACCCATCTGGCCATACCTACCCACAGGGCCAGCACCCCCATTCTGGCCACCCGTACCCACAAGGCCATCCCCCATCTGTCCATTAAAGCCTACTCTGGAATGACCCACATTACAATGGCCTTCATACTTCCATCTTTTCCAACTCACCCACTACAGTACCCTATTAGTGCATTGGTGCTTGATATGTCTGCTAACACCCAGAATTTCCACCTACACCTACTCTGCTGGTGGCATAGCATGTAAGGTGACTGGGGATAATACTGACTGCGTCCCCAGGTTCCGAGTTGTGAGTTCCATTCTGGTTGGCAGCTGAGAAAGCCAAATGCTTCCTAACTCGTATATTGCTGACACTCCCATGCCATTATTTTCCCTTTGGTCGCTACCGTGCCCGATATGTCTGTTAACACCCAGAATTTTTAACCTACACACATCGAATCCGCTGGTGACTGGGCTACAAACGCCAGCTCTTGGGTTCGAATCCAAGAGTCGCCCACAAGAAAATAAGCCCATCAAATAAAGCCTGCCGTTAGGAGCTGGCTATGGTGTGGTTAAAAGTAGCCACAGATGCATTGGTATAATCAGCGACTGGGGACAGTGGGTAAACATTAGATTGGGTTAGGATGCACAGTGGTTCCCCTGCTTCCTGGGTGGGCGGCCATGACCAGAGGTCAGGTGTCATAGCAATGGCACAAGTCGGTTGCTCTCTGGGTAAGGTCAGGAAGCCAGTATGAAAGCTTGAATGTGTGTGGGGTGGGATGCACAGATCAGGGAGGTCTCCTGGGTAACAAAATGGGGAGGTGGCCTAAGGGCAGCTTTGGTCAGATGCTGGCTTGGAGCAATGGCACAAGAGTGGCTCTCCGGTTAAGGACAACAAGTGGTGTTGTCAGGGAGGCAGAATGGCTGAAGGAGAGTCAGGAAGGTGTGCCATCTGTGGGTGATGGTAAGACCCGTCCCAGTGCCTTGTAAGATACCTTGATGGTAGTAATCCTGAGAGAGTTATTAAATAGCAGAACCTGGGAGGTGGTAAGGGACTTGTGTTGTAAATAATGGGGGCAGGGAAGTGTGTCATAAAGAGGCCCTGTAAAAGTTGTGGTGGAGATAGGGGAGCTATGGCAGATGGAGGTGACAGCACTGTGGGGTTTGCTGAGGACAATGGGGGCCTGCTGGGGGTGTTCATGTCAGATGAGGGGGAGTTTGTGAATGGGCAACTTTACCCCCAAACATGGCTAGCAACTCTACCTGACTGTTTTTTTGCACCCTAACTCACAACACCCCATCTTGCCACCCCCAGCTGGCCCTCCTCCCCAACAACACCACCTGTCTAGCTCTCGTTGCCCACAGTGCAGGCCCCCCCTTTACCCAGCATCCTTACTTGACTGCCTTTTTTCCACACAATCCCACAACACCTCTCCTGTCTGGCTCCATTCTTACCCACAGAGGTTCCCCCAGGACCCCTACTTGACTGCCGTGTTGCCACAAACCCCACAACACCCCTCCTGTCTAGCCGTCCTTTCCCACAGTGCTATCCCTCTTCCCAGCAACCCTGCTTGTCCCAACCAACCCATCTGGCCATACCTACCCACAGGGCCAGCACCCCCATTCTGGCCACCCGTACCCACAAGGCCATCCCCCATCTGTCCATTAAAGCCTACTCTGGAATGACCCACATTACAATGGCCTTCATACTGCCATCTTTTCCAACTCACCCACTACAGTACCCTATTAGGGCATTGTTTTCCGTGACCACCTTCCCTGTGACCCACAGCACCAACCAGGGTTCTTGCCACCTTCAGCTACATGCTGTACTTACCATAGCTCTAACACTGGCATCTGGAACTTCATTTGTAGTTCTTTTTTTTTTTCAGGCCGGCACCCGGATTCGACCTCACGACCTGGTGTTTGTAGGCTGAATTGGTATGCAACCACAAAAAAAAAGGGGGTGTAAGCAGACCTAGTACCGACACTCTAATTACATTATTTTCCCTTTGGTCGCTACAGTGCCTGATATGTCTGCTAACACCCAGAATATTTCACCTACACACATTGGCTCCACTGATGGCGCAGCATGTAAGGTGACTGGGTTACAAACGCCAGCTCTTGGGTTCGAATCCGGGAGTCGCCCACAAGAAAAACAAGCCCATCAAATATAGCCTGCCGTTAGGAGCTGGCTATGGTGTGGCTAAAAGTAGCCACAGATGCATTGGAGTAGCCACAGATGTATAATCGGAGACTGGGGTCAGTGGGTAAACATTGGATTGGGTCAGCATGCACAGTGGTCTCCTGGGTAATGGAAAATGTTGCTCATTCGTCCTTTTGATTTACAAGTAGTGTTGGGCATGTTATCTAATCCTCCTTTTCTTCTAGAGCAACCCTCCCTAATGTAGATAGTACATTTAAAAGTAGTATATCTTACAGCTTTCATTAGGAGGAGGGTCTCAAATATCCAAGCCATTTTCCATACTGGGTAGTTCTAAGACCCCTTTCATTAGTGTCATCCAAAGTTGATGATTCACCTATGCCTTAGATGCTGGCAGTACATTGAGAAAGTATATTGATATGACTTCTTCCATCAGGAAGTCAGACAACCTGTTCATCATTCCTGGCAGCATCAGAAAGGGTATTTCAGGTTCCATTAGAATGCTTGTGTCATGGCTAGTCAAGGTAACCGAGAGAGCTTATATGGCAAAGAAGATAATTTCACTGATTAATCTCAAAGACCACTCTACTAGAGGAAGTTTGTCCACATGGGCAGAACTCCTTCTCCAAAGTTATTCTGGAGGGCAGCAACCTGGTCCATGTATGGCACGTTTCTAGTCCATTATAATTTCCATCCAGCAGCAATGACCACAGTTGAGTTTGGACGTTCAATTTTTATTGAATCTAATTAATGTCCAATGAATTATATTTGTGTTAGCATTTCTCTCACTTGCTTTGCATGCTATGTTCTGTGTGTAGGCTTCCATGCTTGTGTCAGGAAAAAACTGTATTCATATCATTGGTAATTTTCCTTTCCTGATGCTAAAGCATGGTAACATACAACCCCTCCCAGGGCTTTGCCTTGAGTATAGTTACAAGAATACTAGCCTTGTAGGGGAGGCTTCATTAATAGTATAAATCGGTCCTGTGGGTGGGTAGGGGTGGAGCTGAACATACACTATATTGCCAAAAGTATTGGGACGCCTGCCTTTACACGCACATGAACTTTAATGGCATCCCAGTCTTAGTCTGTAGGGTTCAATATTGAGTTGGTCCACCCTTTGCCGCTATAACAGCTTCAACTCTTCTGTGAAGGCTGTCCACAAGGTTTAGGAGTGTGTCTATGGGAATGTTTGACCATTCTTCCAGAAGCGCATTTCTGAGGTCAGGTAAGGATGTTGGACGAGAAGACCTGGCTCGCAGTCTCTGCTCTAATTCATCCCAAAGGTGTTCTATCGGGTTGAGGTCAGGACTCTGCGCAGGCCAGTCAAGTTCCTCCACTCCAAACTCGCTCATCCATGTCTTTATGGACCTTGCTTTGTGCACTGGTGCGCAGTCATGTTGGAACAGGAAGGGGCCATCCCCAAACTGTTCCCACAAAGTTGGGAGCATGAAATTGTCCAAAATGTCTTGGTATGCTGATGCCTTAAGAGTTCCCTTCACTAGAAATAAGGGTCCAACCCCCCAAAAAAAACCCCACAGCTTAATCCCCCCTCCACCAAACTTTACACTTCGCACAATGCAGTCAGGCAAGTACCATTCACCTGGCAACCGCCAAACCTAGACATGTCCATCGGATTGCCAGACAGAGAAGCGTGATTTGTCACTCCAGAGAACACGTTTCCACTTCTCTAGAGTCCAGTGGCGGCGTGCTTTACACCACGGCATCCCACGCTTTGCATTGCACTTGGTGATGTAAGGCTTGGATGCAGCTGCTCTGCCATGGAAACCCATTCTATGAAGCTCTCTACGCACTGTTGTGCCAATCTGAAGGCCACACGAAGTTTGGAGGTCTGTAGCTATTGACTCTGCCGACAGTTGGCGACTTCTTCGCACTGTGCACTTCAGCATGCGCTGACCCCGCTCTGTCATTTTACGTGGCCTACCACTTCATGGCTGAGTTGCTGTTGTTCCCAGTTGCTTGCACTTTGTTATAATACCACTAACAGTTGACTGTGGAATATTTAGTAGCAAGGACATTTCGCAGAACACCTGAATCCAATGATTTGGAGAGGTGTCCCAATACTTTTGGCAATATAGTGTATGTGTAGGCTGTCATGCTTTAGCGTAAGGAAGTTAAATGTACTACTAGGTAAGAATAGAGTTTTTTCCTTTGTGCTGTCGTTAATTCTTCACCAAGAGTTTCTGTCTTGAGAGAAAGTTCTCACTTACCCTTAGGGAAGTATTGGCCCGAATTCCCCAAATTGCATTCTTTTCTGCCCCATATCTTTCAGCTACTGAAAACTAACAATAGCTGGGGTGCAAAATGACATTAGAGGACATAATTTTTATGACAATAAATGCATGCCTACTCCATTGTAACAAAAAGTATAAAGCTCTAAAAAAAAGAAATCAACTATACACAAACAAACAGAAGGAAGAGGCTTTTATTTTTTTGTGAGACACAGAGGAAACATCTCTGCTGAGAGAATACTGCTTGATATACATGGTGTAACATTTAAGAATGACAGTGAACCCTGTGTATAGCTTCTACAGTGCTGAACCATTTGGGGTAGCTACTACTGTAGTGTTGAAGGTAGATAAATACATGGAATTACAGCACAGCTGGGTGAGGTAGGATAGTGACTGTACAAAGTTATTCACAGTGGAACAAGGTCAGTTTATCAAGGGATACGTCCAGGACGCTCTAGAGCAGGAGTGTCCAAACTCCGGCTGCCTCATGGGATTTGTAGTTCCACCACAGCTGGAGGGCCGGAGTTTGGACACCCCTGCTCTAGAGGTTAAGTGGTTCACACAGCAAAAGCACCATAAATGGTATATTAATCCACTTAAGCCCCTTTCACATGAGCGGCCCGATCGGGTCCACCTGTCAGTTTTTCAGCCAGACCCGATCGGATGCTGTATGCAAGTCTATGGGGCGGTGTGTAAACGGTGTGTGTCTGTTTACATCAGATTCCCCATAGACTAACAGTTTCAGGTTTCGGCAGTTTCAGGTTTTTTCTCCATCACAACATGGAAAAAACTGTACGGACACAGATGTCACTGCTGTGTACTGATCAGGAGAGGATCTGTTGACAGACCCTCTCCTGACACGCTCAAGTGAAAAGGGCTTTAAAGGGACTCAGCATTTACAACATCTAAATGAACAAATAATGCACAAACCCTTGCTATCTATGTAATCACAAGCAACTGCATCCCAAGGACATAGCATTAAATTAGCACCACCGAATCTGTAAGCCATGGAAAGCTGAATACTATCATCCAGATTCAGTCAGTTAAAGGAATATGTATCTACAAATGTTGGGCAAAAGATTTATGTTATGTGCTGGTGACAGAACATATAAAAGGATTGGTCAGCACACTGGTTTTATGCCTTACATTAGACTGACACATCTTCTATCTATATATAAACTTTGCATGGGTACACAGTGGGTAAGAAACATCCATGCTAGTGTCTCATACAGCAGGACACAAGAGCCATGATATATGCACAGCATCCGCTGTGAAAACATAGATTTTAAATCTGTACTTTTAAAAGCTTGTATTCCTGTATATGTTGATCACGCTATGTCAGTTTTGTACCCATGTTTGGGCTAATATATTTGTGAGTGTACTTTATGTGCCTTTATTGCTTGTAAACATGTAAACATCCTTTATATATTACTATATATTTACATTAAGCTTTATCTAGTATATGAATTCCACTGCCCACAAAAGGAGTTTTGCACAATTTGTACAATCTAGTTATAGCACAGTTTAAAAATGTTATAGTTTTAAGTACACTAGACCTTCACATCTTCCATAGTAGGAGGTTGTGGTCTGTTTTGTGATTGTCATGCAATTTTAGCAGCAGCACATTTCTGACCTGGTTTGTTTCATATAATTACAGTTTCTTCCCAATGGGAAGCCTCGTAGTGCATCATTTTACAGGTATGGCTTTTAAATATTATTTTATTTAATGCATTGTGCAGATTAGAAACCAATTATGCTTCATTGTTTGGACTGTTCCATACCGATGAAAAGAAAACCAATTAGTTACTAAGGGTTACAATTCTTTGCACATCATCTTTGCTCCTTGCATTACCTTATCAAATTAATCCTATATCATTCTGCACTAGGATTCTGTGTATACTTGCATAGAATACTACTCAGCTAGTCTGCATTGTGAATGTTAAACTAGACTGCTGTTTGATTTGGTTACAGTGAGGACCAAATAGATTGTGTCTGTTTAAAATGAAATAATGCCAGCATAATACAAACTGACATTGCTTTTTAGGTATCAAACATAATTTACTTACTTACCAGTTTAAAACATTTTAACATTGTACAAACTAGTGCTGCAACCTTCACCTCCTTTCCAGCAATAAAAGCAAATATACTGTATATATATATAGGTGAAACTCGAATAATTAGAATATCGTGTACCAGTGATTCCAGTAGAAGTGAAAAGTGACATCAAAGGAAACAAGCAGCCAGCACTGTTCGAAGGGTTCAGTATTGTGAACTGGATGTATCTGGGATTTGGAAATGCTGATTTTCAGGAACTATACTGTTTATGTAGAAGGATTTCTCCAATCTGTATAAAAGAATACATAATAATGAGAAAGCACAAATATAAAGTTGAGGCAATAATCGCAAGCTGGAAAGTAAATTGCGAAGTTATTCACAACAGAACCCCTAATTTACAGGCCTCAATCTGAGAATTGCTTAGTGTCATTTTTATCTAAACATTTTGTAATATTCTTTAGGTTTTTACTTAGATGAAATATCAACTATGGCGTTGAAGAAGAAGTATCACTATAATGCTGTAAAATCCCCCTGTGGCCCCAGTGCAACATTGACAGATAGCCCGAAGGAGCGTCCAGGAAACGGAGGAGGAAGTTATATGAACGATTCAGCCAGTGCCATTCACCGCTGCCAGGGCTGTGATCAGCTGCTGCTTGTAAACCTAAAGGCAGAAGAAGCTGGGGTGCAGTGGCACCACTAGGATTGGGCTCCCAGGGCACTTGTCCTGGGATCCTGGCACTTCCAGTTTTTGTTTTTTTTAACTGTCTCTGCAGCCTGTGCCTTCCTTAACATTGGGTGCTGCAGTATTGAGTGCATCAGCCATAACATTATCACCACCCTCCTAATACTGAATAGGTCCCCAAAACAGCACTGACCCATTGAGACATGTACTCCACTAGAGGTATGAAGGTATACTGTGGTATCTGGCACCAAGCTGTCTTTAGCGGCTTGGTGCCAGCCGCTAAAGACAATTTGATTGATATCTGCAGAATTTGGAGGTCAACACTTAGAACTTGTTGTTGTGTTCCTCAAGCCATTTGTAAACCATTTTTGCAGTGTGGCAGGGCGCATTATCCTCCTGAAAAAGGCCACTGCCATCAGGGAATACTGTTTTTATAAACGAGTGTACTTGGTCAGCAACAATGTTTAGGTAGGTGATACCTGTCAAAGTAACATGCACATTAATAGAACATTGCTCAAAACATCACCACACTGCCCCCAGCTTGCCTTCTTTCCACAGTGCATCTTGGTGCCATCTCTTTTCCAGATGCACCTGGCCATCCACATGGTGTAAAATAAAACGTGATTCATCAGACCAGGCCACCTTCTTCCACTGCTCCGTGGTCAAGTTCTGATGTTCATGTGCTCATTGTAGGCTCTTTTGACGGTGGACACGGGTCAGCATGGGCTCCCTAACCGGTTTGTGGCTAACCACCGCCATACGCAACAGGCTGCAATGCACTCTGTGTTTAGGCACCTTTCTATCAGAACCAGCATTAACATTTTAACAAATGTGAGCTACAATTGCTCTTCTATTGGTTTGTACTACATGGGTCAGTCTTCTATACCCATGTGCACCACGAGCCTTGACCACCCATGACCTTGTCGCCGGTTCACCAGTTTTCCTTCCTTGAACCACTTTTGGTAGGTCCTAACCACTGCAGACCAGAGCTGCAGTTTTGGAGTTGCTCTTACCCAGTCATCTAGACATCACAATTTGGCCCTTGTCAAAGTCACTCAAATCTTTATGCTTGCCCATTTATTCTGCTCCCAACATATGAACTTCAGGAACAAAATGTTCACTTGCTGCCTGATATATTGTATATCCCACCCACTTCCAGGTGTTATTGTAATGAGAAAATCAATGTTATTCACTGGACACTGAATTCACTGCTCTGTGAAACATCTGGGAGGACCTAGCTGCACAGATCTAACACCACCCACTGAAGGTGGTCCAAGATGGTCTTCATTCCCCACACAGCTCCTTCACTCACCAAGAAGAGCTCTCACATGTTCTGCACAGGTTCAAATTACACTGCTTCTGTTCTGTGTGGAGTGTACATTTTACTGCAGGTGGACTTTGCAACCTATCTTCTTCTATCTTAAGCATTACAAGCAACAGCTGATCACAGAGTCCTGCCAGCGGTGAATGCCAGCCGCTGAATCATTTGTACTCCCTGTACTCAGAGAAGGGGCAGGGGCTCAGTGCTGGTTGTACCTCCCCCATAGGAATGGCCACAAAATTAGCTTCAGCCTAGGGTGGAGCTACATCCAGCACTGACAGAATAAAAAATTGATTTCTAATTCACAACAGGGCCACGGATCAATACAGAACCAAGTGCTACATGCATTTGGCCCCTTGGTGGATTCAATTCAGAGTTTTACAATGTAGTGATCATTTTTATTTAATTCTTTCTACAAAGGGACTCGAGTTTTGAAGTGCACAATATCGGCTCCTATGGTGTGATCCTTGCCTATATGGTGCATTGGATCCTTAGATCAATATGGGATTTTGTGGTTTATTTTTTTAAATATTCGATTTTATTAATTTTTTTATAAAGAACATTAAAATTGACATACTGCATTACATGATTGGATATCCAGGTACAGCTCAATCAATCCGGTGTTAATATTTCTCTACAGATTATTCTTATTTATAATGTCAGATTGTTTGACCATGTACCTTATAACTATTAACTTATGGCCTAAGAGGGCCCAATTAACAGAGGAAAAGACTTACAATAAAATTTAAGTAAAAAGAAAAGAAGAAAAAAAAGTGAAGGGGGGGTAGGCAACCCTCTCAAAATTCGTTATTATAATGCTTTACTACCCTGTTTCCCTGAAAATAAGACCTACCCCGAAAATAAGACCTTGTACTATTTTTGTGAATTGCTAAAATATAAGACCTACCCCGAAAATAAGACCTAGCTTTGACCATTCCCAGGGCAGGTGGTTGCATAAGGGCAAACTTGAAGAGCCGCGGGAGAGGCAGGAGAGAATCAGCGGTCCCAACGAAGCCAGCGCTAGAGGAAGCGAGGCGGCACTGGAGGGGGCAGAGCCGCATAAGCCGATGCCTCCTCTATAGCGCCGACTCCTGTCACAGGCGGAGTGACACCAAATGCAGTCCGCCTGTGAGGAATCGATAGTGAAAATGCACTTCGCTCATTCTGGCCAGCGATTGGTTACCAAATTGCTCTTGGAAAGGGCACCCCCTGATAGCCCTGATCACCATATTTTTGTACATTAATACATGTAGACTTTTCTGCAAAAAGTGTGGATTGTTGTACATTGAAAAAAATAAATAAAACCTACCCCATAAATAAGACCTTGTGTGTTTTTTTGAGCCAAAAAAAATATAAGACCGTGTCTTATTTTCGGGGAAACACGGTAGGATAGTTTGAGAAGGCCTTATGTGCTACCCCAGCATCTATAAAATTTTCCAATATTCTCCTAATTATCCCAATATATGTCCATTCTATCCTATATCCTCCATATGTCCATGAGAGTTTTTGAAGTCATTCCATTGTTGCCAAGTAATTTCAAATTGTTTAACAGTGTCTCTCCGGATTGATGTCAATTCCTCCATCAGTCGGTAATATTCTATTCTACTATACCACTCTCTCATAGTTGGAATAGTATCTTTATTCCAATGTAGTGGTATCAAAATCTTAGCAGCGTTAATCAGGGGGTATAACAATGATCGCTTGTAGACCGTGGTCGGGAGATCCGTAAGATGAAAAAGACATGCCATCGGGTCCAAGGGCAATGCAATTGTTGTAATCTTTTCGATGGTAGCCACCACCCGGGCCCGAAATGGCTGGAGTTTAGGACAGGACCACCACATATGGGTATAATTCCCAATATTACCACAATTTCTCCAACACATCTCCGTCCTAGATGAATGCATTTTATGTATACGTTCAGGTGTATAATACCACCGTGCTATGAAACGGAACATTGTGTCGTTCACTAACGTATTTATGGACGGATTTGCATTAGGACTCAAGATTTTTTGTTTCTCTGAGTCCGTCCAGGTTTTCTCCAGTTCCTGTTCCCACTGCTTCAGGTACAGTGGGAATAGATTAGGTTGATGATTTACCAGAATCTTATAAATTTGAGAAATGCCATGTTGTGGGCAGTCAGTAGAGAAGAATAATTTTTCAATCTGTGTAAGTTCAGATATCGTGCATAATGGTTTTGGAAGTGTTACAATAAAATGTGATAATTGCCTATGTCTCCATGTGTCAAAAGGATAAGTCCCCCATTGTGCTCGGAGATCTATTAAAGAATGTGGTTTGTGTCCATCACTTACATGATAAAGCTTTAAAATAGCGTGATTCCTCCATTTAAGAAAACTTGTATTGTGCATTCCAGGTGGAAAAAATAAGTGGTTTATCACTGGCATTATAGGAGAGTTATATTGCCCTATTAGCCGGGGATATAGTGAGTTCCAAATTTTTTAAGTGTGTCGTGTAAGAGGGGAGGTATGAAGATGTAATTTCCAGTATTCTTGAGGAATCCAACAAATGGTCGATATTATTTGGCCGGCAAGCACGTTCTCCACCTCTACCCATCGTTTAGTTTCCGTGTGAAAGTGCAAATCTAACATTCTATTAATTGCGACAGCCTGGTAATAATTTTTAAAATCTGGTAGTGCTAGGCCTTCCTGACGTTTAGTCCTAATTAAGGCTCCGTGAGAGATCCTGGCGGGAGAACGTCTCCAAACTAAACGACTGACAACCGACTTAAGGGCTCGCAAATGAAAATTTGGCAATGTGATCGGCACTGTTTGATATATGTATAATACCCGAGGTAATATCATCATCTTAATAATATTTATCCGGCCCCTAAGAGAGATACATGGGCGATGGTTAAACCAGTTGTTAAGATCCTTGTTAATTACGTTTAATAAGGTCATGTAGTTGACCGTAAATAGTTCTGTGATTCTAGGAGTAAGTGATATGCCAAGGTATGGCATTTTATAATTTTGCCAACTAAACGGCATTACTTCTTTCAAAGCCGATACCGTGTGCGCCGGAGTGGATATGTTTAATATTTCTGATTTGGATAGGTTCATTTTAAAAATTTGATATCTGACTAAAAGATTCAAATTCTTGTATCAATGATGGCAGTGAAATCTGAAGTTGTGAAATGAAAAAGAGAATATCATCAGCATATGCGGCCAGTTTATGCTCTGTAGTGCCTACTGTGATACCGGAAATATTGCCGTTTAGTCTGACGGTGGCGAGAAAAGGTTCCAATGTCAGGGCAAATAACAATGGCGATAAT